GCCTTCTTTTTAGGATGATATGTTATCACCACTAATTTTGCTACTTTGGGTCATCAGTCTTTTTTTACTGACCTAAGAGTCTTCTCCTAAGAAGGCTTTTGAGTAAATCTACTGTTATACACTACATGTTTTTGTTTTGTTTTAGTCAAACTGTCATAGTCCCACCACGTTGGTAGCCTTGTCATTTGTCCTACACATGCTGCCTACCATGGCCCCACTTGAGGTGGGGCTGATTGTCTCCGGTTACAGGCCAGTCAGTTGGCCAGACTTCTCAGGAAGGAGAAATAAAAGCCTTAGAACACATTCTGCCGTAATATTTGCCACTTGACTTTAAAGGTGTGAAATCTGAGCCCAGAGGAGGCAGGCCACCCAAGAGACAGGGCTGGAACTCCCCACTTTTCCTCTCCAGAAACTAACTCTGAGCCTAGAAACAGCAAGCATTCAGAAAATGTGTGGCAGGTGACAAGTGAGTATCAGGTATATCACTCCTCCCAGGATGTTGGGATGTGACTCCTTGGTGTCAACTTGGGGGATTTACAACACCTTCCAAACAGCCCAGTTTACATTCATGACCCACAAATGGTCTCTTTATAGTTTCTGCCTTTAAAAAAAAAAAAGCATCAATTTTTGTTTTGATCCTTTCTCACTGCTTAGATGGTTCACAAGTGTGAAATCCCATTGGATTGCTGGCTAAACATTTCATTGGCTGCCCTGAAATATTGGAAGTAAAAAATGGTGATATTGAGGTCTTCTTCTCTGATCCTGCTTCTTACCTTGATCACATCTAACAGCTCAGAGCCTGTTGCCAGAGTGGTAAAATTGTTAGTTTCTGTTTACTCACCAGTTACTTAGTACTGACCATGTCTCGGGGACTATGAGGAATACGATGGGTGTGACCACAGCCCCAAGAGACTTACAGTCCCGGAGCTCTGCTTCTATAAACAACGCCTTCCTTATTATCAGCCCCACAGAGATAGAACATCTTTCTGTGGTTCATCTCCATTGTTGGGCTTCCTACCGTCCCCCAAATTTAGAATGACCTGAAAATTTTCTTACTGCTTCCTCTGGATCATTTATAAAGAGTATTAATAAGACTAGTTGTGACATTTGTGGCTCAGGTAGTTCTCAATTCTATTTCACACAGAGACATGTTTCTTCCTGTCTCCACATCAGGATTCTCACCTTGGCCAAGCTGCCTGTCCCATGGAGACTCATTATTTTACATACCTTTTCATGTAGAGCCTCTTCAAACGTTTAGAAAATTTAAATAACTAAGAGGTGAGTGCTAATCAGGAGACCTGGGTCCTAGTCTGGCCTGACACTGGTTTACCATTGAACTTTGGGCAAGACTCAGAACAGCTCCCATCTCAGTTGCTTCATCAGTACAATGAGAATGATTATGCAGACAGTTAACATTATAAAAATTTTACAACCATCAGATGAGACAGTGGTATTTAAGACTGCCTTGCAAGGTGTAAAACAAAAACCTAAGGGCTCACTATTTTGAAAATTTGCAAGAGCATCTTCATTTATATGCACATTCCTCTTCCTGAAGAGGTGTGGTAGATAAAGACATGGTCCCTCTACTGCACCCAGGGTGTATTTGTTTAACATTAACTGCTTGAACTCTGTGGAGGGCTGCAGGTTTACATAACCAAGAGGACCTGGTTCTTGGAGAACATTTGGCTTCAGCGGGTAAACCCATGGAAGTGTGGACACTGGAATCAGTCAGACCTTGGTGTGGATGTAGGTCACACCATTTGTTGGAAGTTGGACCTTGAATGCGTTATGACTCTCTTATTCTTCTTGGGGACAATATTACCACTCACTTTATGGAGCCACGAGATACAAATGTCTAACACATAGTAGCCATTCAGTAAAGAACAGTTCTTGATATTTGTCTGTGTACAGGTCTAAGAGCTAGTCTATCCTACCTAATCTTAGGATTGTCCATCAAATATTCAGAAGATTCCACTGTAAACTTCTTTCATCAAAGTCTTATTTGAGAGTCTTTCAGGAGACAGATAAATGAGTGCTTTCCTTTGTTTTATGGAAAGCTGTGGTTTGGAATGGGGTGAGGGAAAAATGCCTTTCTAAATGCCCTCCCATTCTAGAAGAGGGCAGAAGGTGGGGGATATAGAAAGCTAGGCCTTAGAAAATGTTCCCGTTGGTGTCTCCTTTTTTCCTCAGCCAGTCCTCTGTCCCTGCCCCAGGTCACCTTTGATGTCCACTACATCCAGTGCATTCACCTCATTGTAAGAAGCAGAGAATTTGGAGTTAAATGATAAAGAAGATGACTGGGACACTGAATCTAATTTCCTTTGGGGATCAGACCAAGGGCAGTGGATGTGGCTTAGTTCTGTCAGCAATCCCTATGGGAGTCTGCTCCTGCTAGTGGCCTGAGCCGGCTGGAGACCAGCCAGGGCTCAGTATCACTCTCTGCTCCTACTCCAGGGCACCTCCCAGCTGCAGATGAAGCCTGCCTGGGCCTGGAGCCAGGGCCATTGCTGCACAGTCATACTTGGATGGTAATCCCAATTGGTTTTGCATGAGCTCCCGTTTCATTCAGATTAAGACAAGGCCTGGCCAGGGTGGACATCTGGGACTTGGGGGTAGGCACAGAAGGAGGACCGTGGGAATCAAGGTGTTTTAATTTGCAGGCTTATACATCTCCACCTTTAATTCTTTTACCTGTTTTTGTTATTATTGTTGTTTTCATATTATTGTTGTTTTCATGAGATTAGTAAGAAAATAGCAGAAGGAGTCTGCAATGGTTTCTTTGTTCATTTTAAAAATAAATGTTTATCAAGCACAAGTTTTTGAGCATCAACATCTAGGATGAGTAGAGAAAGTCTCTGGAATTATTTTTAAGCCTCAGCCACCAGCCTTTTGGTGGCACTAATCAGGAAGTAAACTTGGAACCCCCTAAACCCTTCAGAAACAAGGCCTCTTAAGTGAACAAGGTCTTTAGAGTCAAACCTGAATTCTAATTCTGCCTCAAGAGCTTTTAGCTCAGGCCAGCTGTTTAGTGTACTTGGGTCTCATTTTCCTTATCTATTATCAGTGTGTCACTTATGACTTTTGAAGAGGCAGAAAGATGTACACTGCTTTAACAATAAGGAAATGTCTTTAGTAGCTGGAAAGTCCCAACCTTGGCAGAGTTTGGGGTGATTTGGATTCAGGGGCTTGATGGAAGATGTCATGGGCCAAGGACCAATCATTTCCCATCTCTGGGCTTGACCTCCCCTGCTGCCAGCTCCCTTCTGTTTCATAAGAGGGCTGCCAACAGATATTTAAGCCATGAGCACACGGAGGAGGGGTGAGGAGAGATCCTTTCTTCCTTCCCCCTGTCAGGAGTCCTTGTTTTGCTCTGACCTAAACTGTTGATGAACTTGAGCCAGTTTTCTCTTGATCACTATGACAAAAGTGTGAGATTAAACTGATTTGTGTAGGCTCATTAAGAGCAACTCTAAGAAGCAGCATGGGTTCAGTTCTACCCAGAAGGTGAGAGAGGGTGGAATGGATGATGGAGAAATCACACAAGCCACAACAAATGAACTCAAAGGCTGTGGGATTAAGAGGATCATATCAATAAGAATTATGTGTAGAGCTATCAACCAGCATCTGATATCTAGGAAGCTTAAAAATAACATTTAGGAGGGGGAAAAACAACGAACAAAAAGAAAAAAATCAACCAAAGCCTGAAACGAGCCTAAAATTAAACACATAAACTACAAAATAACCTGGTATCAGAGTTTGATGAACTTAACAAAACACGAGGCGTCAGACTTTTTGGTGACCTCGTTGTACTCAGTTGTCATCAACATGATGTCCACTCTGTAATTTAGTTCTTCTGAGTAATTACTTTATTCTCTTTGGTCTCTTGAGAGGTTAAAAATTACATGTAATTACATGTTAAAAATAAGAGTACATAATGGGAATATTTGGAATATAGTGTTTTCTTTGGTTTTGTTATTGAAATCTCTAAAATTATACCAGGGTTACCTTACAGAGTCCTGTACTAGCGGCATCTAATTGAGATGAGCAATCTTCTAGCTCTCACCTATTCACGTTCTCAGTAATATTTGTTCCCGACTCATGTGGATGGTGTTATTAGTTCTGAGTAGCAGTTGTGTTGGATCTGTGCACACAAGTTCGTAATGATTCCAGAGACCTAGACTGACACTCCAGGCCCAGATAAGAATTGTGTTCGGTTGGAAAGCCCCTGCCTCTTCCAGGTCTGTTCTCAGTGATGATGGGTTGTGTGGACAGAAGTCTCTTTCAGTTGTCTCCACTCTGTCTAAGCAGTTCTAGGAAGGACTTAGGAAGGGCCCAAGGATCATCTGCTCCCCGAAGTGTTCTTGGAAGATTGAGAATGACTCATTCTAGAAGCATACTTTGCTGTAATGCCCATATCCACTTCTCTCGGACATGAACTTCTAGGAGGCTTCAGGGTCTAATAGCTATGCTAAAAACTGAAGGATAAGCCAGTAGTTTCCCTGGCTGAAAAGAGACCACTTGATGCAACATTTCTGGGGTTGATTCTTTGCCTGCTGCCTCTCTAAAGTGCACCAAAGATATCTGGGTAGCAGTTTCAAAGAATTAGCCCACATCCTTACACCAGAACCGTCTTATACTCACAAACATAGCAACTAATGTTACCCTTCAGGTGCAGAATGATGCTGATTTGCTGCATTCCCAGTCCTATCATATTCTCTCAAAAAACAACAAGAACCTAAAGATCTGAGCCTGAGACATAAGGAACCATAGAAAACAAGTGCTGGTGCCCAGCTTGATCTTTCTCTTCCCCTCCCCTGTGCCATTATGATGAGGAGGCCATGGTGAGCTTGTGTCCCTTCCACCCCTTTTCCTCAGCCTCCACGCTCAGTGGTACAAAGCCCACTGCTTCTCCCTTGACTGTTGGGAAGGTCTCTGGGCTGTGACTGTAGGCAGTGTAGGATTTGAGCTTACACTGATTTTCCCCTTCCTCTTCTCTGCAGATACGAGTGGACGGACCCAGGGGCAATGCCCTCCAATACGAGACTGTGCAGGTAGTAGATCCTGGTCCAGTCCTTCGGGATATGGCCTTCTCCAAGGATCACGAGCAGCTCTACATCATGTCAGAAAGGCAGGTAAGGCTCTTTGGGCTCTGTTAGACATTTGTCTTGCAACTAAATACTAGCCTGTGGCTCCATAGAAACTGCAGGGGGTCAGCTGCAGAGAGGTATTTGATTTATTTGGCTCCGTGTGTATCCTTTCAGATATGCGGCCTGGGGACTAGAGCTGGGTGTGCTGTAACTAGACCGGAGACATTTGAAATAGCAAAATATCCATGAGTCTAGAACAAATCCACTTGCTTCAAAATGATGATGTATATGCAGTCAGGGCCAGCATTACTCGCTTTTGAAGAAACATGGTACACATGCCCAAGCTGGTCCAGATTTCCCTACACAGAGTTTAATATCCTACCATTCACCTTCCTGGATCCTGGAGGTCTTCCATGGGCAAAGATTTATTACCAAAATAGCCTAGTCATTAGAGTGTCCTGGAATGGCCAGGTGGATGAAGATTTAGGAAATAGCCTGTGATGAGATGAGATGGTACAAGCTGTGCTCTGAGCCTTCATGTGTATCCACAACTCTTTGTGGACCCTCCAGTGGATGCCATGAGGCCAAGCCAAGATTGGATAGGTGTCAGAATTATTGTTGGCTGAAAATAATCAGGAAGCAATACATTTGGGCTTGGTTCTGGAACTGCGTTGAGAACTAAGTAGTTTCATCAGGGTTCCCTGAGCTCAGACCAAGAGTTGTAATTCTGCAGCAGGCAAAGAAAGGTTCCCCTTAGAAATTTTGTGTAATTAAGGGTGTTTCCTAGAATCCCCTAATTCACTGCCCAGAATATTTTCACCCATAACCCACCCCAAGTGTGGATCAACACTGCTATACCTCTGCTCCATCATGTCAGTGTCAGATGGGTCACCCCTGGGAGCTGTCCTTCCACCCCATGAATATGGATGTCTTATTTCTGAGTGGCAGAGGCAGCAGCCATGAGGAACAGATCTCCCTCTTATTCATCTTCGTTAGTATGGTCTGAACTCTCCAGAGGAGCCTGCTGACAGAGTCTGGATTGTTCTGCCTGTCCCCTTTCTGCAGAGAGGGGATGATGAATTCCACATTATGCCACCCACAGGGCTTATGCATTATGCCTTGGCAGCCCACAACAACTCCACCCTCCCTAAGAGCTCAATTACATCTCCTCTCAGTGTGGGGCTCCCTCATCTACTGGCTTCAGCCACACTGGGACCCATTGTGGTCCCCTCTTTCAGACTGCCTTGGCTTAGGCATGGCCTCCTGTCGGGCAAGAGCAGAGTATTTTGCCCTGAGGTTGGAAATGCCTGAGATGGAGCCAGCAGCTTAGGGCAAATCTTTCCCTTTGTCTGTCCCACACTTGGGGTGGGTTATGGGTGAAAATAATTCTTGGCCTACCTACCACATGGTAAAAAGAAGTACCCTCAGGTCTGGGACACTGGGAAAACCCTAACTCTCTGGTTGTTAACCAAAGCCAGAGTCCTGCAATCTCTATCTAAGTCTTCAGCATCATCTCCAAGTAGAAGGTCCCAGCCTTTGGAGCCCCAGAGGGCTCCAAATGAGGCCTCAATGAGGCCTGCTACCATCAGGAGTGGTGAAGCCCACAGCCACCTCATCTTCAACAAAGGAGCCAAACACCCTCAGTGGAGGAAAGACAGCCTCTTTAATAAATGGTGCTGGAAAAACTGGGTTTCAACTTGCCAAAGATTAAAACTAGACCTGTATCAAGGACCTGAGTTCAATCCCCAGTACCAAAAAAAAAAACAAAAACAAAAAAAAACTAGACCTGTATCTCTCACCATGCACTAAACTAAAATTGAACTGGATTAAAGATCTAAATATTAAAACAGAAACACTAAACCAGCTGGAAAAGAGGTTAGGTAGAACTATTGAAGACATGGGTGTAGGAAAAGATTTCTTGAACAAGGCTTCAGTTGCACATGCACTAGCACAATCAATCAAGTGGGATCTCTTCTTATTAAAAAGCTTTTGCACAGCAAAAGAAACAAAAACAGAGTGAAGAGACAACCCACAATGTGGGACAAACTTTTCACCAGGTGTCTTCCCATCACTCTTGGCATAAAGTCCAATTCCAGGATCCCTGTGTGGGACTGATTCCCACTCTTCAGTCCTCTTGCACGAGCCAGGGCCTCCTTCCTGCCCGAATACCTGCTGGGCCCCTTCCTGCTTCACTCTCTGTCCCCTCTGCTGGGAAAGCCTTCTCAGCTTCCCTGGCTAGCCCCCTGTCCTGCCTGTAGGTTTTGCTCAAACATCATAGCATCACAGATGCCTCTGCTGACCACCCTATCCAAAGCATTTCCTACCTTAGCATTATGGTTACTCCTGTTACATCATTCTGTTTATTCCTCCCAGTGCCTTTTGGGTTTGTTTGTTGTTTGTTTGTTTTTTGTTTTGTTTTCTGTCTGTGTGCACTAGCTCAGAAGTCCTTGGGGCAGGGACCTTATCTCTCTTGGTCATTTCCTTGGGTCCAGCACCCACAGCAGGGGCCCAACATGTTCTTGTGGGGTTGATGGGAGTGAAAGAGCTGTGGGCTTCACCACTCCTGATGGTAGCAGGCCTCATTGAGGCCTCATTTGGAGCCCTCTGGGGCTCCAAAGGCTGGGACCTTTTACTTGGAGATGATGCTGAAGACTTAGATAGAGATTGCAGGACTCTGGCTTTGGTTAACAACCAGAGAGTTAGGGTTTTCCCAGTGTCCCAGACCTGAGGGTACTTCTTTTTACCATGTGGTAGGTAGGCCAAGAAATCTTAAGCTGCACTTTTTTTTTTCCAAATGATCCCCATCCCCAAGTTGATTAGGAAAGGTTCCTTCTGTTGCCGCCATACTTCCTCTGATTTACCCTATTCACAATGGGAGGAGGTTTTGACTCACTAGGTGCCCACCTAGCATCTCTCTTTGTACAACTTGTAGATCTTCAACTTGACATGTCCAAAGCCAATCCACCTTCCAACTCTACACACCATACTTGTATTCATCTCCATCTCAGATGATCAGATGATAGCAACCATGCCAGTGAAGTAACAAATTTTACAGTCACCCTTGGTTCTTTTCCTTATCTCTTACCCCACACACAGGATATTTTATGACTATACCACACACAGAAGATTCTTAGCTCAGTATCTGGTACCAAGAGTACAGAATATTTCCAGAATATGACTATCTCTCACTACTTCATAACCATTACCACTGATAGAACCCAAGTATTTGCAGTATTCCCCCATAGGTCTTCTCCCTGTTCCAACCCTTATCTTTCCAGTACTTCCTCAGTGTAGTGTTTAATCTCTTAAAGTTTAAATTAGGTCACGTCTTTCCTCTGGTTAAATCCCTCTGCTGGCCAAAGTGCTTATGAAGATCCAGCAGACTCTGCATTTTGCCACCTACACCAAGACGTCTGACCTCACCATCCTCCACTCGTCCTCTTGCTCTCACTACCCACCCCCCAGTCAGGCAGGGGCAAGTGCCCTGGACACAGAGATGTCCCCTGTGACAGTCCTCCCATATAAGACATGCTTCCGCTGAGGATCTTTGCTCAGTTGTTCCCTTGATGTGGAGTTCTCCTTTACAGAGTCTCGCCTCTGAATCTTTTCCAACTCCTCCCCAGAACCCTAAGGAAATTCTAACTGGCCTACGACCCAGACCCAGCCTCCTCACTGGGCTCTATTTTTATCTATAGTGCTTATGTGCTTCTTATTTGCTATAAAATATATATTTGTTATGTTTATTATTTATTGCATATCTCCCTCATTTAGAATGTAAGCTCTGTGAGAATAAAGAGTTTTGGATTTTTGTCTTTTAGGCTCACTTCTATATCACAGTCCCCTAGAACAGTGTGTGACACATAAGTACTCAATACTTATGCACGAAATGGATGAATGAATGAGTGAACTAATGTGATCTCAAAATGTCTGTGAGTCTTGAGCCTTTTGTTTCAACTGTTAGCTGATTCTCAGCTACTGGGATGACTTGGCTCTCATGCTGACAGAGAGGGCTCTGCGTGCTATAGGTTCACCACCACGGGTGTAGAAAAGTGAAACCGACTCAGGAAGAGTAAAGTTACGTTCGGCAGACAGGAGGATGCTCATTGGAAGAGGCTGTCTGGAAAAGTCTGCCACAGAAGAAACTTGTAAACAAAAAGCAGAAAACAGTGAAGTGGCGGTGGGCGATGGTCAGGGGAAGAAGAATGACCCAGACAGAGGGAGTAGTGAGCACAAAGGCCTGAGATGGGGATGTGACATCTGGAGATGTCGAGGGTCTGCCGCCAGGGGAGAGAGCAGAAGGTGGTGGGCAGCACCACTGGAGGAGATGTCCGCTCAGTTCCCGCGGAGCCTCATCTGCAATTTGTAGATGGGGATCCAGTCAGTAGGACTCGTCTCACTCATCTCTCAGGTTGGCGACAAGGACTCGGTGAGATACCACACACAGAAGGTTCTTAGCTCAGTATCTGGTACCAAGAGTACATTAATTATTCCCCTGTGGAATTCTGTAGCCAGGACATTGTTTCTATTTTGTGATTATGTGAGTTCCTCTCTTTCTCATTCAGCAATCTGTGCTTACCGTGGACACTTTTTCCTGCAGCACATGAATGCGTGCCGTGAGATGTTATTGTCATTTTGTCATTTTGTCATGATATGCCTGTCTCTTTCAGTGCTACATTTCTCTCTTTTCCCTTTCTTCCACAATTCTGAGCATCTCTCTGGCATGCCTGTGTGTGTATAGGTGTGTGTGTGTGTGTGCATGCGCACACACACACACACTGTCCCCTGTGTCTGTCCTTTCTGTGTATCTCTGTCAGCTGCTCTTGCTTTGTGCATACATGTGTACATGTGTGATATGTATTAGTAGAACCCCAGCACCCCAAGGGACTATCTACACACACTGAAACCACTAATAAAAACCTGCTGAGCCAATAGGCAGAAAGTGAGAGGACATGTCAGCAAAGAGATGAGGTGACAGAGTGGGGGCATCCTGGGACCCAGCAGTGACCTCACAGGAAGCAGAGGCTGTCCCCAGACAAGGCAAGTCT